TGCATATACGATCCCTAACCGTCGACTCTAAGGCTCAAGCTCATATCATGGTACCATAAAAATATATTTAAAGTCCGATCCTATCCATCCATAAGAAATCCAATTAGTTGTTCAGCTTGTTCAGCCGCACAGACTTACATGTAAGGAGGATTCTATTTTTATAATCCGTACCAAAATAGGTAGGACTTAGCAATTTGAGCTAATCCATCCCTAGTATGCCACCGTCCCATACCGGTGCATACAATCCAAACATCCAGCGGTTGATAGTACAGTTTATAAGTGTAAATATCAACTAATCCATAAATCCCACAATTGAAAATAGAAATATTAAATATAAGCATCGATTGTTTCATACTAAGCATAATAACATTGTGTAATTTAACAAGCTTATTCCACACTGCTCCATAAGGTCCAATAATTGATAATACATAACACACATGTAAACATCAACTAATTTCCAAGTAAGCATAAAAATATAAATTCACATGCTTATATCATACCAGTCCAGTAACTGATGAACTAAATAGTTAATTCATGCACATCAACCAATCCTTAGCAAGTTTTATACAGTATAAACATGCTTAATCCGACCACTGATACATGACTAGAGTGGTATAACCATCCAGAAGAAACTGCTAAATTAATCAAAAGCAATTGAAGTTCTTCACATCCAACAACAGTATGCAAATTTGTTCTAAAGATTTATTTACAGTTTCCGCTGTAAGCACTAGTGTTTCATTACACATTAACCAATCTTTGGAAGTTTTAATATGGCATTAGACATTACTGAAAACCCCTATTATACCTTCTACCTGAATCAGAAAACTCAAAAATCCAAGCACCGTAGCCAAACCGGTCACAGAAGAACCAAAAAATAAAAACAAAACAAGGGAGCCTGCTCCCTCAAAGAGGGAGCCGCCTCCCTAGTGCATGGAGCCGGCTCCCTCTTTGAGGGAACATGCTCCATGGTCCCTAGAGCTGGCTCCATCCTTGAGGGAGCCTGCTCTTTGCTTTGGGGAGCCTGCTCCCCTCTAACGGGAGCCAACTCTCCTCCTGTTCTTCATCTCTTTCAAGTCTGGCGATTTTCTGACGGAATTTCCTTCATTCCTAAGGTACCTAGGTGTTCAAATTAGGTCCATTTTGTTCCAAAAACAATTAAACCCTTTGTTTAATAATCGACAACTATTAAAACCCAAACTATGTAATAAGGATTTAAAACGAGCAACTTATAGTGCATAAATGTTTACTATTTAGACAAATCAAACATGCAACCCAGACTGATGTTAAGGTTTCCCCAATGTGTTCCACAACTAATTAAGTTCCTTATTCAATAATTCGACATCAATTTAAATCATGAATTAAGCAAGAAAATTCAAAACAACCAAGTTAATGATACGTGAAACACATACTGATTTAATTACATCTGACATGCAAACTAGATTAATGTTAATATTTCTTTACTCCTAAAGTTGTGTTAAGAATGCAAAGAACACGAGCTAAAGGAAAAGAGTTAGGATTAGAACTTGCCTTTAGGTCTCAATCCGAAACCTTACACCATCGTCTTCCTAAATTCTCTGGCGAACGTTCTATTTTCCCTTTCTGTTTTCTCCCAGACTTCTCTAAACGTCTCTCTACCTTCACTATGCCGTGAATAGGGTTCTAAAACCCTAGGTAGACCTTAACACATATTTATAAGCCAGCCTTAAACCTAAGCCTAAGTGTAATATGATACAAAGAACTAAGTCGGCTACACGTGAAGAAAAATAACAAAACCCTAAATTAATCCCATTAACATATTACACAATTAAACAATTATAATAAACCAATTAATACTTAACTAAACCACTTGACAATTAATTCAATTAAAGGAAAACAATAAATTCTATTAAAGAAAACAATTAAATCAAATAATTAAGTAAAACAAATACTGCAATTAACTCAATTAGTTAACAACAATTAAAACAACCAAGTAAATAGCCAAATAAACACATAAAAATGCAAAAATGACAGTAAAACCATAAAATAAATTACCGAGACTATCCTTTTAAAATTAGGGGTATTACAGGGAATGTAGTATATATATTTCTTTTGTATTGTGTATTGGGACAGGTTGGATGGGTCTGGAAATGCCATTGCATTTTTTTTTCTTCATTTGAGCAGGTTGTTGTAGGCCCCTTTTTAGTTGAGGTCATACCGATTTTTTTTTTATAAATGGTATTAGTTTAGGGTCGTTATAGCATCTCTGTTCCCACCAGACCACCACTGTTTAACAACCTCCTCTCCATCAATGTCTTCTTCCATGGTAGCAGATTCACCTACCTTAGTGCCGACACCAAGGCCTACGATGCCATTTGCATTGCCCCAAACGCTGTCTATTGCCACTTCCCTTGTAAGGTAATGCAAGGTCCTCGTCAACAACCTCATCGAGGTTCCGGTGGGGACCTTGAATATCCATTGCCGACACGATCCTTTCGATATCTTTCAACAATGCTCTGATGGTTCCGCAAGGTCCCTGGTTTATCCCTCCAATTAACCCCAATTAATTAATATTTTAGAAATAAAGATAATATGTAAGGTAGGTTTAGAAATATGCATTGAATGAGATCGACGCCTGGCCATTTTGGGTGGGATGGATGTTGGAGTGACCAAAAGATTCAAAGAACCCTTTACTGACTGAGACATGACTGAAACTATCTGTCAAATGTGGAACTTGTGGTGCTGTATAAAATGCACATCTTGAAGAAACCAAAACAGTGTTAGTTCTGTAGAGCACTAAGCCAAGAGCTAATAAAAGCAACCCATCTTGAAAAAATTCCATACTTTGTCACTTAGATGATAAAAAAAAGTTCATAAGATATGGGTTGTATATAAACAAATATATCTGGTCATATATATATATATATATATATATATATATATATGTATGTATGTATGTATATATACCCATTTTTCGGCGATCTCCTCTTATAGTGGCTGCGGATATGTTGAAGATGTTGAGGGGGTAATTTCATCCGAAAATTTGGCTAGAAAATCACTTGGATGGAGGTTAGTTAAAATGACCCCCTCATGATAATTGAGGGGAATTTTTTGCTACAAAAATTCGTAAGGGAGTTTTTTGCTAACGGATGAAAATCAAGGGGGTTTATTTGCAATTTGCCTTAATTTATATTCACCTATTAATAATGAATTAGTAGTAGTTCCTAAACTATCGCTTGACTTTTACTTATTTTGGTCAAATTATATGGTAGGGCAAATATTAGTTTCAAATTATTATAATTCAGCATTTTTAGGATTCTTGATGTTCTACAATTTAAAAAACTTCAGCACATAAAATTCCACTTTTAAAATTCTTAGTACTTAATTTTTAATTTTATCAAACAACATAAGGTTGATGTGCTATGCAAGTGAGATTGGAAGGGAATTAATTTATTGAGAAAACTACATTTAAGTAGAACTAAGAACCCTAAATAACAAATAAGTCTATTTTAAAAGTTGATTTTTCAATTCGGTTCAGTTAAGCAAAATAATTATACATGCATTGAAAATTATTATTGGAAATGATATTTACGCCGATGGACTTGGCCGATTTGTTAGGCAGAATCCTAGGTGGCATCTAGCTGGCAAAAAGAATGGGCTTGCGTGCAATCCATTCATCTTCCCCGGTGTTTTCTCTCTCTTTCTAACCTCCCTCAAGTTGCAGCTATGTTTGTGGATTTCTCTGGTTCTATCCATTCTGTCTTCGCTTCTTGCTATTGTTCCTGTCCTTTGTCAAAGTCCTACTTTTAGTTGCTTATTAAGATGAATTATAGGCTTTCCATCAACTAAATTTCCAAGAAACTTTGTGCTCAAAGCAATTGATGTAAGTTTGGGAAGCTGGGTTCGACAGAGGGCAGTGGCGGCGGGTCCGACAGAGGGCAGCGGTGATGATCAGCGAGGGGTTAACAACACCAAAAATACGTTGCTGGAGAAGGAGCACGTGGACGAGTTAGATCTACTTGTAGGAGCGTGGGTGCATGAGGATTGAGGATTAGAACCATGACTACAGACGGTGGTTGTGATGCCAGAGTCGGCGAGGGCTGTAAGAACCGCCGAGTCGGAGTCATAGAGCTTGACCGGTGATGATGGACCAGACTGTGTATAATTTAGGATAACATTTAATTTAAAACTTCTATATTAGCCCATTATCTTCCCCATTTTTTGATAGATAAAAATTTGTAAAGAAGAAAGGATGACTCATCCCTATCCTTTGTTTATTATATTGTGTCATTTCTATCGAAAAAGGGAAGTTTTTTCTTTCATTGCTATAATCTCTTCTCACACATGTTCCTTCCTACCTATCAAACAAAGCTTTAGGGATATAGTTTTGTTCGTCCCTAAGTCTCATTTACACGTGTCACCCACAGAATTAATTTGAGATTTTAGACCGAGTTCTCTTCTGTCCCAAAATTAAAAAATAAACTCACGATTTTCTCTATGCTTTATATAATGCATACGTGAGAGCCCCAAAAAGATTCTGGTGTGATAAAAAAAAAAAAAAGAAAAAAAAGGAGGAAGATGTGTGAATTGAGAAGTATTACTATAATTGAGAGAAAAAAAATGGGGATATCATTACAAGAAAATTGACTTTTTACCACGGTGGAAAATACTTTCTACCACGGTTTTGAACCGTAGTAGAAACAACCGCGGTAGTAAGTCCTCTTTCTACCACGGTGTGGAACCGTTATAAAAAGAAGACTTTCTACCATGGTGCGGAACAGTGGTAGAAAGTCCTTTTCCAACCGTGAAGTTGGTCTTTCTACCACGGTTTTGCACTGTGGTAGAAAGAAGTGCAAAACCATGGTAGAAAGTCAAATTTCTATCATGATTCAGAACCGTGGTAGAAAGTGTTGTATAATTTTTTTTTAAAAAAATAGTACAGCCCCCTCGAGGCCTTTTTTTTTCTTTTCCTCTACTACTAGCCTTGCAAGGACTCCAGAAGTAAACACTAAATAAATTAAAACTAGCATCATAACCAAAATAACTTATAACTAACCAATAACATCATATATATATATATATATATATATATATATATATATATATATATATATATAACCAATTCCAAATCATTGTTTTATACAAAAATTAACCATATACAAATTTCTATCTTCTTATGCCATACCAAAATAAAACAAAAATTCTTATATCTTCTTGCTCTGTTTTAGTCTCTCTCTTCCATTACATATATGTAACTTCTTCATGAGCTATACAAAAAATAAAACGACAACAAAAAAAGTAACGGCAACCGAATCCTAGCTTTGACCTACAAAGATGTAATAGTTAAAGTCAGAGAATATAAAGCAAGTTGTAAAATTGTCACAAAAAGAAATCATTTGAGTAGTAACATGCAACAAAAGTAATTTGAGAAAAACAAAAGTAAGTGTGAAATAATAATATTTGTAAAGTTTAAAATGTTGGAATGGAATTATGTAAGATTAGGATAAACTGAACTGAAATCCTAGGCCTACAACAGTTCCAAAAGTATGCATACTTTGTTCCTTTCAAACATACCAAAACCATTGAGCCTGAAAACTCTTATGCTGGGACAACCTCCTCCAATAACAAAAAGATCAATGTGATTGCCATTGAAGGGTTTTCATCAAATTTTCTATAATTTGCTCTATCATTTCAAAAAATTAAACTTGGAACGAAATGTAGAAGAATGGCATCTTAGGATCTTAGCAAAGAAATTGAAAGGGAGGTGATTATTAATAATAGCTCTCCGTTTTTGTGGACATTATGAAAACTGTTGAGAATTCCAATTGAGTTGTTACAGTCTACCAATCTGTTTATATATATATATTTATATATTTTAAAGAAAAGAAAGACAAGTTAAATGGTTAGTGTTTTGTTCTTTGATTAAATTCTACAGACAGTTCACTTTCACATTATAATGCAGTTTTATGATACAAAACCCCATCAGCATCTAGGCACACAAACTGTAGTTACAGGAAGCAATCCAAATAAACAAGATCAAGACTAAAGATATAAATGGATATCCAATCATAAGATTTTTTTTACATGAGGGAGCTCTCTTAAAAGCATTACTCTAAGAAATGATATGTTTGCATCATTATAATGGGTTCAATTACTATGTCATAATCAGGTGGATATACCAGAACTTAGAAGACCTCTTTATTTACTTTGATACATGTCCATGACTCCATTCTATTTAATTTCCTAATAAAGAATGGTCCATACCGTATTACTGTGGTACTAAAGTATGGTTCCAATAATAGATGAAAAGGCTTCAAAATTTTTATGCAAAGACAAACTATATGTATGTTCACAATTGGAAAGACATGGCCATCAGAAGACCCCCAGACATGCCTTGGAACTAGCTCAAGTGCAACTATAAACTGTGTGGCTGTATGATTGTGACCTAAGTTTAAACTCCTGGACCTATTAGTGATATGATCCCAATGAGTCCTTCCTATGAAATTTAGTTATTAAGATTCCATGACAGTTATAATCCAAATGTATGCAAGAATTGAAAAGAAAAAGAGCAACATATTTAAAAAAGTAGCAATCCCTACAAGGTTCAGTGAGAGAGAAAGTAAGTTCAAGAGAAAAAGGCAGAAGACAGAAGATATATATATATATATATATATATATATATATATATATATATATATATAACCCACCAAATTAACCACTGTCTTTGTTAGAAGTATGGGGCGAATCCCATACCATACCTATTTGAGTATCAATTTGATGAATATAACAGGGCATGAAAATACAAACCTTAATTCGTGTCCTTCGAATTTAGGGCTTCGAATGAGAGAGGGAGCTAGGGTTAGGGCTTAGAGAAAGGGGCGAATCCTTGTTCAATCTTGATGCCAATCAGCTGTGCCGCTATCTTCTCTGCTCTAATGCTGCATTGACCGTCGATTCAACCCTCAGTGGCTTCGGTAGAAGGGTTGGGCTTGGAGAGAAAGAGGAATGACGGCTTGGACGGTCTAAGAGAAAGGGGGTGGCCGGCTTTGGAGATATATAGAACTACAGTGATCTTGAATAGGGAGCAAAACCGATTCTTTGATGATCTATAGGGAATCCGACTAAAGATGTCTTGAAAATGGTTTCGTGCTAAAGGAAAGGGGGCATAGAATAGAAATGTTGCAAAACCTCAATTATGTTGTTCCTCGGTGTGATTGAAGAAGAAGCTCAGAACTGTCACAAAGGAGCTACCTCACATTCACCCTGCTATCTATGTCTTTGTTTGCTTCTGTATATGTTTCGATCTATAAGTGTTATGTGAGCAGTATATGTATTTTACATATATATTTTTTTGTTTTTATTGACACTAGCGGGAATAAGACCCTCCAAAAATTTCGCGAAAATAATTCACTTTCTACCACGGTTATAAAAATTATTGTGGTAAAATAATATACTTTCCACCACGATTATTTTAAAACCGTGGTAAAAGAATATACTTTCTACAACGGTTATTTTAAAACTGTGGTAGAAAGACCCGCCTAAATTAAATTAAAAATAATTCACTTTCTACCACGGTTATTTTAAAACCATGGTAAAAGAATATACTTTCTACCATGGTTTTTCATTAAACGTGGTAGAAAAAATCTTCTACCATGGTTTTAAAATAACCGTGGTAAAAAATATACTTTCTACCACGGTTATTTTAAAACCGTGGTAGAAAGGGTCTTCTATTACGGTTTTTTTAAAACCGTAAAAACTCTTTTTCTTGTAGTGTATGTTTGAGTTTTAAAGGATTATAAAAATTAGGAGTCAAATTAGAAATAGATTACAAGCAATTATGATAGTAAACAATCATCCTATTTGAAACAAAGTTTGATTTAGAAAGGACTCAAATTTTCCATTTTTTTTTTTAATTTTTTTTTTTTTTTTTTTACAATTATTTTTCTTCATTTGTTTTTGATCGATAATAACATCGATTATAAGTTGTTTATACCATAAATATCTTTTAGTTGGAAAGCTTGTTGTGGAGGGTACTGAGCGTTTCCAATTGTAAGGGTGAACGTTTCCAATTGGAAAAGTAATATGAAAATAAGGTTTAATCATGAAGTGACATGTGGCTTCATCAAAGGAAGCCATTTGGTACAAGTAACTGCATAGGGACATGTGTTAGTCAAAGAGGGAAGCAGTTACCCTCAATTGTACATACGTGTGACTTTCCAAGTGGACACGTGACATACAGAGAAGGTAACAGTTTTCTACAGTTGGAAAGTTGTTGCTGAATATGACACGTGTCAACCAAAGAGGGAAGCAGTTATTTGTAGTTGGAAAGACATTTGACTTTCTAAGTAGACATGTGACAGGCGTAGAAGGAAACAGTTACTTGCAAGTTAGAGGCACTTACAAGCAATTAGGAAATTGTGGTCCATTCCATTTGGCAGTTTCAGAATGTGGCTAGAAGCCTTTAATTGGAATTGAATCACCAAAACCACCCCTTCAAAACTGTAATTGATGGGACATCATGTTCTCACACATTTCAACACTATGAAAAGACTAAGGAAGACATGGGACATGTGGCACGATTCGGACCTTCCAGGTGGAAGTTTTCAACTGTTGCTAGAAACTGCCGCCTTTCCATCTGGACAGTTCTACAACGTGAAAAATGCTTGCAAACATACATTTAGCTACCAAAACCACTCCTTCAAAACTGCAATTCATGGGACATCATGTTCTTACACATTTCAACACTGTGAAAAGTCTAAGGAAGATGTGAGACACTTGGCAGCCCAAGGACAAGCCAAGTAGAAGCTGCTAGAACTGACACATTTCCAACTGCTGCATGAGAAGCTCTATAAATAGAGCACTTAGCTAGGCCTAACATACAAATCCTGTCAACACACACAACAATACATCTTTACTTGTTAATTTCATTTCATGTATCTTTACATTCCAGTAATATATTTTAATTATGTCTAATTTAAGTCTAGCACTTTCTTTTCCTACTTTCCAGCAAGTAGTTCATAACACTTTTTATTCAAAGCTTGAACTTTCAATACTGTCTTTCTTTCCACTAGCTATAGAACAGTCTCGAAGTCCTTTTTCAAGGCAAAAAGAATCTTTGAAGGTGGTCATTCTAGTCCTTCATATAATCGTCTGATCCCAAACTCCAACTGGAATATTGTTTGGAGCTCCACTTTGGAACGCCAGCAATTCATGGCACACCCGCAACCCACCTCCTCTCCACACTTGAAAAGGATCACGATTTTTATTAGCCAAACACAAGTAATTATAATTGTAATTAATCACACCATTTAAAATAGTGGTTATTTTAGAAAACACTATTTCTCTTACTATTCACGCACGGTTGAGAGAGAGAGTGAATTTCACTATAGCTTAAGGACAATTATGGTATTAAAAAATATAAGAACAAAACATTGTGTGGTGTAAGGACTTATTTGTAATTTTATTTTTAAAATAAATAAAAATGGAGCGCCAAAGTACTTTGTTGGAGAGCCAATATCAGTTCCTATAATATATACATATATATAGTAAAAATATTTAGAAATAAGAAAAAGATATAGATAGATACACCATATTTAAATTAATTATTAAATGTATATTTTTAAATATTAAATTAAGATTTAAAAAATAATAAAAATATTACAAAATATATATATATTTTTACGATCTATTAGGCTTAGAAGCCAAAACAGGGCAAAGAGGCCCAAACCAATATCGGGAATGTTTTGTACGAGGTAAGCAATGAGCATCATCTTCATTCGGAACAACCTGCTTGGTAATCCTTCACCACATGGGCATAGGCGCCTTGATCAAGATACAAGGGCGGATGGGGTACTATAGTAATAGAATTTTTTATTATTATTATTATTTTGGGTGGGGCCCTTGCCTAGATATCAATTTTCCCTTATTGCTTGAGTGATTTTGTTGAGGACAATTGTAATGGGTGGCGGTCTTTCGAGTCGGGCGCTTGACGTGTCATAGGATGAAGGATTGAGTCTCGAGCCGGGCGCGACATGTCATAGGATGAATGATTGAGTCTGATTCTGATACCAACTATAACGGATAGGTGAATATTTGCTCATTTACTTAAAAGTTTAAATTATTGGGTAGTACTATGTACCCACTCATTTATACTCATACATTATTCTATCCTAATCTGATGTGAGACAAATTCCCACTTGTAACAAGTGCATTATGGGTTGAGGTTTTCTGTCAGAAGATGCAAACCATTCCTCCCAAATAATAATAATAACACTAATAATCTCTTTCCAACCATAGAAAGTACCATAAAACATGTTAGAAAACACCAATAAAACTCCAACTTGAAAATTTGAAATTGTAATTTATTGCAATAAAGTTCTTGCATAAACAAACTGAAACAAAAAAAACTACAAAAACATTGATACTATGTTTAGCAGTATCAAATTGACACTTTGGATTTGGAATTGGAGGAATTTCAGTACAAACTTTGTATTAAAATTCTCTCAATCCCAAATACAATGCACCAATTCGATACTTCTAAATATAACATTAATAATCTCGCTAAATTCTTCCAATTTCAAAAATAAATACAAGACACCAATTCGGTGTTCCCAAACATAACATTAGCAATGTTGTCATTTACATCTCTTTCAACGGATATAAACACTCCACATGCTTGGTGATGCGTCTTGTATCACAGGGTAAGGTTGACCAATACGGAGCACTCCTCAATGTTTTCCTTTCCACATTATAATAAAACAATTTTGATGTTTGAGATCGAAATACAATATCACCCGTATAAATGGTACCATCCGGTATAAAACCGCCACGACTTGGAAGTAGTAGGCTCTTCCTATTCCATAGTTGCTTCTTGTGGTCTTCCAGTATCCAAATTGCTGACATCTTATGATCTATTAAAGCCTAATGTTCTTTGACTTGTATCAATCAACAATTCTCAGTATTAGCACTAACAGGAAATCGAATGATCTGAAACTTCTCGCATCCTACTTCGAAAGCTATTATCATGTCCTTCGAGTCATGCTTAGATATAATATATATAACATCAGTAATGCAATAAGCCCTGGAATAATCCGTATTCAGAATTCGGGGCAGGCCTAATTGAAGCTCAAAAGTATCAATCTCTCTCCACAAGTTAGTGCCGAGCGTCAGAATCTTGAACTCAATCTTTAACTCAACTTGAGAATCTTCACTAATAAGATTAGGCAAAAATCCGCATATGGCGAGAACCTTGTATTTATTGGTGGAAGGGTCCAATCCTAACAAGTATTTTTCAACACGATAAGGTACACTGGTTCTTATAGGTGGAAGAGCTTTGATTTGTCTGGTGCTAGGATTGTATATGCGGTTATTGATACAGACCAAGCCATTAATGGATTGAAACGGAATATACAAATCCACTGTACGGGGTAGTGGTAGAAGGAAAGAGGTCGGGCCTCCCTCTGGATTACTAGACCCAAGTTGAAGAAGGAGGTTGAGACCTCCGGGACGAGTATGGGATCGAATATGGTGTTTTTGAACGAAAAGTGGATCGTCAATTATGGAGCACCAGAGCTTCGAAACGCACCTTAATCTCAGTAAAGTTTTCACAGAAAGCAATATGAGTATTTCGAAGAGAAGATCTTTTGTAACTAACAGCACCACATCAACCTTTTGCCTTTTCCACATCTCATCGCAAAACACATCACCCTTTCGCCTTTTCCCCATCGTATTACGAAACTTCCTACCTTGTCGCGGTTGATTTGTTAAAGTCTACAGAGCTAGGGTTTCTATCGGACCTACTTTACAAAGGGACCCGTGAAAACCTAGATTTGAGTTTTGTGAAAGGCAAGTAAAATTGGAAGGGAATTAATTTATTTTCACCTATTACTAATGAAAAATGTCCGCCAAAAAAAAATTACGGAATGGATCGAGAGTTTTTGGGATGGATTTTTTAACTAACTTTGTGATTCATTCACATAAGAAAAATGTAGAAAAAAAAAAAAGGAATCCCATTTAATTAAGAGATAAAAAAGCGTTGAGCATCTCAAAATACCTATAAGCCTAACAAATCCTATCCAAGAATTTTTTCACGAGACAAGAGAAAGAGAGTATTAGGCAGTTAGCTAATAATTAAACCAAGCCAAAATGTGTCCAATTACCAAGGACATATTTCATTTGGGGGCACAATGTAGTTGATTGAAAAAATAATAATAATAATAAAAAAGATTAGTGATGTGAACATTTGTAGTGGATTGTTTAATCGAATAATTTTTAATTGACTATTTATACAAAATATAATTAAGTGAAGGATTTTACTTACTTATTTGTTGCATAATTGACCAATTAAAAGAGTAGGTCAATCAATTCAGCAAGAATCATTTTCTAAAAAATTTCTAACTAGCATGACAAATGTAGATTATTTAATTCAAAAGGCAATGAAGTCAAAAATTATTACATACTTGATACATATAAGAATCATAACATTGATCGGTTATATTCCCAATATTGACTACAATTACAACTCTCTCACCGGTTTTTTGAATTTTGTCTTTATCTACCATTATTATTATTATTTTTTTTTCATAAGTGAAGTTACTAACATGACAAATATAGATTGTTTAATTCAAAAGGCAATCAAGTAAAAAAATCATTGCAAAATAATAAATACTTGACAGATGTACGAATCATAACATTGATTGGTAATATTTCCATTGATTATAATTACAACGTCTCAATAGGGTTTTTGAATTTTGCCTTTTATCTATCATTGATTTATTTATTTCTTACTATTATTATTTTTGGATAGGGTATATTCTCCCTGTACATTTTTATTTTATTTTTCTTTAAAACAAGTGTATTGACCTTATAGTACAGCATCATTTAAGTTAGGGGTGCGATTTGAAAGTGAGATCTCAAAGAACTTACTTTCCGAATTCCTGTCGACATCGCTTTGCCCCTGAGGACTACTCTCATGTACATTACACTATAATTAAAGTGCAAAGACCATTACCATGATTTAATTACCTTCAATTAGTGTAACAATGCATCATACCGTTAATAAAAAATGTGACAGAGCCATGAATATGAGGGGAGGCATATTGAACATGATAAGTGAAGTTAAATTTTTTTTTTCCAACAAACATGGCCACCAACAGTGTAGCAATACGGTAATACAAAAATAGGTGTAATAACGGTGCATTAATCAAGATTCAAATAGTAATTTAAGAATAGAAAGAGAAAAAAAAAATTACAATAACAAATTTAAATACAAAGAGGAAATGAAAAGAATAGGAAGAGGAAAAAAAAAAAAAAAAAAAAAAGGTTGCTGTATACATAAGAGCAAAAAAAACATAAAATTTTAAGAAGTAAAAAAAATAAAATAAAAGAAGAAGCCGAAGAAAAGAAAAATTGTAGAACGTACTTTGAAGGAAAAAACAGTCCGGTCTTTGCCAATTAGCATAAGACTCATATATATATATATATATAGAATCAGACTTAAAATCATAAAATTGCAATATCTTGAATATTTCAGAAACTGACAATAATCTCAGTTTTCACTTGAAGTTCTTTTACCTCAAAAAGAATCTGTAGTGGAAGCCTTTCCATTTGGGGAGGAGATCGAGCATGTACCATTTGGGCCAGTGTCCATTGGTATAAGAAAGTATATTGACACACAATCTTTAATGCCGTGAAACTATATATATAATATATACATTAGTGCAATAGAGATTAGAGAGCAAGAGTTGGTTATGAAAATATAAAAATAAAATATCACAACTTCTACCTTTAAATTCAAACGGCCATAAAACTCCAACTTGTCTATGCTATCTACAACAAAAGGGTCCAACTTGAAATTTTGAAATTTTAATTTATTGCAATAAAGCTCTTGTTTTTATCTCATTATTTTTGGCGTAATGGAAAGGCGACATATGGCGAGTTTCAATGAGCTTACCACATTAGATTGGTACTTAAAATATCCAAAAGAAGAAGATATGATGAGGAATTATTGAAAATAGATTATATATGATCCACCAATAAAGAAGAAGTACGTGGTGAGTTCCAGTGGAACTTGCTACACTGGATCACAACTCTGTTAGAATTGTGTTCAGAATATTAAAATTACGTGATTCATATCGGGATAAGTGATCCAATTAAAACACACCAAGTGGAGTCTTTTATTAAAAGGAAAGTGGCGAGTCCTATTAGAACTTGTCAACTTTAAATAAATATCCACAATGTTCTGGAAGGATTGCTTTGAGATATTTATGTAGATTCAACCTCATGCAATTATGTTATACAAGACTCATCCAACCGATCAATTTCTGACACATTGATAAACCAATACAAAAGAGCCACATGGCGAGTTCTATGGAACTTAATTAGCATGAGATATATATTTAAGGGATTGGGATCTTCTGCTGTAAACGGGTCGTGATGTACCCATGTTGTAGTGAAAAAACAAATTGTTTTTAAATTGGTAACTGTGGAGTCCAACGGAAAAATGACGTTAAAAAAATAAAATAGAAAGTAAAAAGGAAAAAGGAAAAAAGGAAAATAAAATATCCTTTCTGCCGCATCCCTACCAAAAAAAACAAATAGAGAAAAAAAAAGGAAAACAAACTTCAGAGCCTCCCTCCCTCGTCACTGTACGTCATCTCCCTCCCTCGTCACGGTGTATCTCAAAATAGCATACTGGGTACTGGGTTTTTTAGGCATCACTTTGTCCCTGTCTTGTGGCTGTATTTTTAGGTACTTACCCTTTCTTTCTCTCTTTCCCTCTTCATAAACCCTAACTCTCTCCCTCTAAAAATCACACTTATTTCTGCACAATATATCATTATACTGTAAAAGACAAATCATTTAGAATAAAAAATTCAACATATAAATTTTGTATGATGATTTTTTCTTTTTAATTTTCACGTTATTTTGGAAAGATAACTCGGTTCTTCCATATAAACTTCCCTCGTTTTTGTTGTCAAGAAGGCAGAGGAGAATGATAGGAAACCAAATTTTGGGTTCTAATCTAAATTTAATTTCCTCCCATATATCAATTTATAATGTTTAATATTCATACTGAAAATAAAGCAAATATAGATAATTGATAATCCATAAAGTAAATTAATATGCGGAATGTGAATAATTTATATATATTTTAGTTGTCATACATTTATCATCGTTATGTTTCCTGCAATTGCAATGACAAAACTAATGCAACTTGAGTGTAGTAAGAATTAGAGAAATTAGGTAATTAACAATTAGCACTTGTACTTGCGAAGATTTGTCCTAATATCATAGAACTAGAGATTAAACAAAACTAAAATTAGAATTAACCTTCAGTTTGATTGCTGGTAAAACGTGGGAAGAGAAAACAAAATCAAAATCTGAATCAATTGGAATTTCATTGTTTAATACCTTCCAGAATTAACATATCTTAATTCACGCTTCTGGCTTGAATTGAGTGAAGTTATTCAAATACTGGTTACCCAATCGACATCAGAATGAAATTTTTAATTCATTTTCCCCTCCATTTTCTCGACAAACAAACGTAGTAAAAGTATTCAATTATAGATTAGTCTAAATTATTAAAGAACGTAAAACATAATTTTAAAAAAAAACTTGTACTTTCACCAAAAATGAAGTTCCATAAATTTCTAATTGGCTCGATTATTCCCGTCAAATTCAAATACTGGAAAAGGCAAATCATTTAGAATAAACCATTCAACATATAAATTTTGTATGCAGATTTTTTCTTTTTAATTTTCACGCTATTTCGGAAAGAAAACTCGGTTCTTCTGTATAAACCTCTTTTTTGTTGTCGAGAAGGTAGAGGAGAAGGATAGGAAACCAAAATTTGGGTTCTTCTTAGATCCATTTACTTACATCTCCTATGAACCTATGAATACACTATGACTTAGACAGATTGAACACCTTTAACAAAAGGTAGTTAATGAAGTGGGGTTCTGTAGCTGAAAAGAATTCAATGTTTGATTATGGCTAACAATATAGTTAAGGCAAGTTATTTAAATTTTTAGCTAGCATTTAAAAATTGTAATTGTATCGTATCAATTAAGAACACAATTGAATTTTTTGATTGTGTTATTAATTATGTGTAGTCATCAATTTTAAAGACTTATGAGCTTGTTGGTAGTACGCGGAGAGGTTTCTTGAAAGATGTATGGAGGAATAGCTTGATGTTGTTTAAATTAAATGAAGATGAAATTTTAAAATGTAGACAGGTATGTATGATTCATTTAACTATTGATGTTTCATTTCATTATCCGTGTTCTATTTTTTATATTTATAATTATGATGTGTTCCAGTTCTTTTTCCCTACATCAAATGACAATCATTGGCTCCTCTACGTTGTTGATATTAACAAATTAACAATTTATTACCTAGACTCCCTTGATAACAAGATTAGAAGAAAATATGCTTACGTATTGGTAATGAGGTTTTAATGAACTCCTGATTAGAAGTTTCAATTTGTTTTTTTATGTTAGTTTTGAAGTTTCAATGTTATTAACTAACGTGTTTGAATATATCATTTATAATTGCAAAAGGAATTTGATCGAAGACTGTACTATCAATTATAATTCAACCCTTTTGTAATAACACAAATCATTGTAAAATAGGGCTATTGGTCGGGTAAGTCGAACCACTGGAACTGCTAGTTTATGACAACCTAGGTGTTTAGAATCATTTTTAGAATGATGAAGAGGTATAGA